GCTGCCTCTCCCAGGTAAGGGTGACGCCCACCTTCCCCCATGCCTGGTGATGCCCTCAGTCTACTGGTCTCCTTCCCCCCCCGGTTATCATTGTAACTAGGCTGCTGTGCTGCCTCTCCCAGGTAAGGGTGACGCCCACCTTCCCCCATGCCTGGTGATGCCCTCAGTCTACTGGTCTCCTTCCCCCCCCGGTGATCATTGTAACTAGGCTGCTGTGCTGCCTCTCCCAGGTAAGGGTGACGCCCACCTTCCTCCATGCCTGGTGATGCCCTCAGTCTACTGGTCTCCTTCCCCCCGGTGATCATTGTAACTAGGCTGCTGTGCTGCCTCTTTGGCTTACCCATAGTGCTTTGGAAGTCCTTTGTCATTAAGTGTCCATTCACTATCTTAGACGCTAGAGAACGAAGCCCCAATATGTTCTAATGCCACATTCACTCATTAGGTCTGACTCGTTCATGGAAGACGTGGTCACCCAGGTCATCGACCACCACATTTTGGAGCGGAGGCCTTCTGCCAGCTGTCCGGTGACGTTGGAGCTGGTGGGATCCTGCACCACGCTGGTCGCGGAGAAGATCGTCCAGGAGGCACCACAAATCCTTGACTTCCAGCTCGCGTCTCTGCTTCGAGGTGAGTGCCGGGAGAACGCCAGCTGCTGGGGGGATTCACCCTCTCTGTATGTCCTAAAGAAACTCAATACCGACCACCAATGTAAGGGGGCAACTTTCCCCACTGACCTCCAATGTGAGAGGAAGTCCATTGCACTGACCACCAATGTAAGGGGTCAACGTTCCCCAGTGACCTCCAATGTGAGGGTGGTGAACATCTTTCCCATTGACCACCAATATAAGGGGGCACCTTTCCCATTGAGCTTCAATCGGGTTGGGGGGTTGGGGCGGCATTATTTTTACTGACCACCAATGTATGGAGACACCTTTCCCACTGACCTTCGATGTGAGAGGAAGTCCATTGCACTGACCACTAATGTAAGGAGTCAACGTTCACCAGTGACCTCTGATGTGACAGTAAGTCCATTGCACTGGCCACCAATGTATGGCACACCTTTCTCACTGACCTCCGATGTGAGGGAGGTGAAAGTCCTTCCCATTGTCCACCAATATAAGGGGGCACCTTACCCATTGAGCTCCAATTGGGTTGGGGGGTTGGGGCGGCATTATTTTTACTCACCACCAATGTATGGGGGCACATTTTCCTTTGACCGCCATTGCAAGGAAGCTCTTCAATACTGACCACCAATGTAAGGGGGCAACGTTCCCCACTGACCACCAGTGTGAGAGGAAGTCCATTCCACTGACCACTAATGTATGTGGTCACCTTTCTCCACTAACCACCAGTGTGAGAGGAAGTCCATTGCACTGAACACCAATGTATGGGGGGGCACCTTTCCCCACTGACTTCCGATGTGACAGGAAGTCCATTGCACTGAACACCAATGTATGGGACACCTTACCCACTGACCACCCATGTGAGGGAGGTCAAATTCTTTCCCATTGACCACCAATATAAGGGGGCACCTTCCCCATTGAGCTCCTGGGGGGTTGGGGCGGCATCATTTTTACTGACCACCAATGTATGGAGACAACCTACCCCACTGACCACCAATGTATGGAGACATCTTTCCCCACTGACCTCCGATGTGAGGGAGGTGAAAGTCCTTCCCATTGACCACCAGTATAAGGGGGCAACGTTCCCCACTGACCACCAGTGTGACAGGAAGTCCATTCCACTGACCACCAATGTATGGAGACATTCTTCCCACAAACTGATTAACCGGTGCCGAAGGCGGCAGATCTTTTACTAATAAAGAACCATAAAATGGACGTACGTCTACATACCCCGGAGCGGTAAAGGCGTCCGCCATCTTTTCTCGGTTTCGGCAGTAACCCCTGACACCTTGCACTCTTGTGGCCCCCCCAGGTACCATCGTCTTGGACTGTGTAAACATGGCGCCAGCCGCCGGCAAAGTGACCCCAAAGGACACGGAATACGTCGCCATCCTGGAGTCGAAGTTCCCCGACCTGCCACCGAGGGGCAGCGTTTTCGACTCGTTGCAGAACAGCAAGTTCGATGTCTCAGGTAGGCACTGTAGAGATTCGGTGCGCTCCTCCACCCTGACGTGAAACAGCCATAGATGGACACGCGCAGCCCTGTGATTGGCCGATCTCCTTCCATAGATGGTCCTAGCTGAGCGAGCCTGAACCAGGAACAAAGAGGAAGTGCAGCAATGAGCTGGATGTCTTTTCATTTCATTAATCATAGAGATCAGCCACTAGGGGGCAGCATAGAGTCTTGCGATGACTTTGCCGCACGGGGGGGTGCATTGTTTTTAAAGAGTCGCTGTCACTTTAAACGAGTGTACTTCTCTCTCTGGCGCAGGTCTCAGCACGGATCAGATGCTCCGGAAAGATCTGAAGGCCCTGACAAGTCGTGACGTCAGTTTGGCCGTCAGTGCCATCTACATGCACATATGGACCAATAGGAAGGCTTGGGGGGCGGAGACAAGCGTACTTCCTGTACAGAAAATGTCTACAGCGTCCGCCACTCGTAACTCCGGGTCAGCTGATCGTTTTAACGTGCGGATTGCGCCGAATGGCATCCGCCATTTTTATGATATGCACAGTAGTTGTCAGGGTTTGTGACAGGTTCACTTTAAATGGAGGGTATTGAAAATGGGGTCACTTTAAGGCTCCTTGCTCATATGCACAGGGGAAGGGGGGGGGTGCCGCAGCTGGGACAGCGGAATGTGACTTCTAACCGGTGTCACCAATGTTCCCTAATCAGACGGGATCAATGTATCCTCCTAAAGATTAGTTGTGTTCACAAATGTCTGACACAGATCAGTCCCCTGCTGCAGTCTCTCACCTTGTGACTGGATACAATGTGACAGAGTGATCATTGGGGGAGGGGGAGATTGAGGAAATGCGTCTTCCTGTCTGATGACATCATCTCAGCCTTGGTAGTCAATGACTGGAGCTCGAGGATTCCAAAATTCAACTGTTGCTGTATATTGTCCAATGTCAGAGAGTTTTATTTATTTATTTTGTACTCTGTTCTCATTTCACCCCCCTCACCCTCTCCCCCCCCCCACTAGGAGTTCCTGCAGAGGGACGGATTGGAAAGAGATCTACAAGCATTCTGCCAAAAATACGACTACAATGTCCTCGTGGCCATGGCCATCACCTTCACCGCGCACAATGAGCCCATCAGGCAAATTGCAGTGTACAGCCAGCAGGGGGAGCTCAGGGACCTGGTACGTATGGAGCCCGGAGGGATACCCCCCACACTCCTCTCCTGTACATACTGCCCCCCGTCACACCCCCCACACTCCTCTCCTGTACATACTGCCCCCCGTCACACCCCCCACACTCCTCTCCTGTACATACTGCCCCC